CTTTTCCACGCAATGGGTTTCCATGCGGCAAGGGGATTTATTCCATCCCCATGTGTTCAGCGGACACATGCTGCTATCGGTGAGAAAGCATCCAGTGGCTTTGCTTCGATAAACTCAGCGGCTGCGTCTAGACTGGCATGATTTTCTGCAAATGCTTTTAACAGAAAAGTTTTCTGTTAAAAGCATTTGCGGATGAGAGCGTCTAGATTGGCAGGACGCTTTTCCACAAAAGCACTTTTTGCGGAAAAGCGTCCGTGTCAATCTAGACGCGCTTTTCCACAAAAAAGCCCCGATCACCATTTTTGAGATCGGGGCTTTTTTGTGCAAAACCAATCTGAGCTGTCTACACTGGCCCTCTTACGCAAAAGCTTTGCGCAAAAGGACTTTTGCCCGAACGGGAGCAGCATAGTATTTCCGCAAGAACACTGACAATCTTACATGAGATCGTCAGTGTTCTTGCGGAAATTCAAGCAGCCAGTGTAGACAGCTGGCAAGTTTTTCCGCAAAAGCAGCTGCTTTTGCGGAAAAACTTGCCAGTCTAGATGCAGCCAGCATGTTTCACTTCAACTTGATCGTTCTCATCCCATCGTGAGACACATTAACATTTCAGTAGCATCGTTGTGTACCTGATAGGACACGTGCTGCCTGAAATGGTTTCAACGTCAACATTTTTCAGAGTTGCTGACTCGAGTCCCACGGCTCAAACTCGAGTCTGACTTAAGTCGCCTAGGTGACTCGACTTGAGACTCAACTGTTTGTGACTTGAGACTCGACTTGAGACTTGCTAATTTTGTTAAATCGACGATATTTGTTAAATGTCTATATTGATGGCTTGTACAAAAGTGACTTGACATTTTTTTAAATTAGGACTTGAGACTCAACTTGGGACTTGACTCAAAAGTGACTTTAGGGACTCAAGACTCGACTTGAGACTTGAACTGTAGTGACTTGAGACTTGACTTGGACTTGACAATGATGACTTGAAGACAACACTGACATTTTTTAATCCAAACCTTTCAGAATTTGTGCTCCAAGGAAATTCCAAACTCTGTTTTTGTTCCAAACGTTGGAATTTCCCATCAAGGTTAAGTTCATTTTTTCTACAGCCCCAGTAACTCCCCTGTCGTGGCAAGCAGGGAGCCTGCGTGCTTCGTTTGTGGGTGCTTGGTTGAGTTTGCTTTGCCCGTCTGCAAAGCCCCGTTGAGACGAAGGCTAGCACACCGAAGCTGGCTGCGTGGAGCTCAAACTTGACGCGTCTAGACGTTAGCTAAAGGCTTCCTGCGCCCCTTTCACTCCTGTTTGAGCAGCAAGGAGGAAGCAGCCCAGGCAGGCTCCAGGGAATAATTCACCCCCAGGAAGACACATGTCAGCTGTGGGTCCAGCAGATGGTGGTGGTGGGCAGGAGGAGGCTGGTATTCAAGGGCCGTTGCTTTAAAAACTGGAAGTTCATTCAGACGGGAGAGGGGTGAGGAACAGGGTCTCACCCAACCTTGCCTTGGTTTCCCTACTGTGTCAGCCAGGGGGACCAACTTGCTTTCCAGTTCATCAGGGAACCTCCCACCAGGGTGTTTCTTTGGCTTTTGCCAGGGCTGTAGACACAGTTCAGCTTCCGTCCAAACAGGAAAACCCAGACCCTGCTGCCTGCCCTGTGCCCGGCAGCGCTGCTTCGGCTGTTCCCAGCCAGCCCTTTGCCTGGCCTAGCAGAATGAGAAAGGGCCCCTCCAGAAGTCTTCTCATGGCTCCCCCTTAAATGACCTGCTGGTTGGCCTGTTATCTCACCCGCTGGGAGAGGCAGCTAGTTAGTGACAGGTGGGGGCTAAGCCCAACTCTCCCCATGCCTGTTCAAGGGCCCCCCATCCTGGGGCAGTGCATGGGAAGGCAATGGGGAGCTATGGCCACCCTGTCAGCCTGCACGTGGCCAGGTGTCCACGGACAAGCAGCTCTGCTCAGCGACTGTCCTTATGCTCAGTTCTCTGCCTCCGGGGATTTTAAAATGATCTAGTCTTGGAGTCAGGGCGCTAGGTGGCAGGGCAGGAGAGCGACACCCCACTCCAGTGATCTCTTTAGTCCTCGCTTTGGGGCTGGCCCAGGGAGTGAGATCCCAGGTAACTGTGGGCAGCTTCTTCCATCCAAACAGCAAGCACAGCCAGCTAAGGGGGCCCGTGCGGCAGGGCCTGAGCACAGCGTCCCTACACTTCCTGGGCGCAGCATGAAACCTGGGGTGAATTCTCCAGGGAACAGCCTCTTCCTGGCTTGCCCCAATTCCTCATCGGGACGTCCCCACAACATGGCACAGGGGCTGCTGTGAGAGCTCCGGGTCGCCTCTGAAATCCAAGGGGGAGCCCACGGAGCCCATCAATCCTTGCTCCATCTTGACCTGAGGTGTTAAGATGGAGCCGGGTGGGCTGGGACCCCGTCGCCTCTTGCAGGAGGCTCCTTGGTGCTCAGTGCGAAGGCACCTGCTCCATCGGAAGCACACTGGAGGCGCCCTGGGCTGTCTGTGGAGATGCCGGTGCAGCCCTGGGGCGAGAGCTTTGTTGTGCCTCGTGGCTGTCTAGGAAATGCAGAAGCAGCCGGTTCATGAGAGTGGGCAGGGAGCTACCTGAGGGTCCTCATTCCCCTCCCTGTCTCTCACTGCCTCGCCACTCCTGGTTCTGCTCTCCCCACAGCGGCTTCCTCGCTCCTCCTCCATTTCCTTGGCCCGTTAGCGCCAGGTGACCAGACGGTCTAATGGTATCCAACCCCTATTAGGGAAAAATGGCCCAGAGACAACCAAGGGAGGGGACAACTTGGGCTATCGGTCCTCAGCCTGGTTACAGCCTCGCCTTGGTGTGAGCAGCTAGTGCTGCATGAAGGAGCAGGGTTTTCCCTGGCCCATATGAGGGATTTGGAGGGTTCAGCGTCCCGGGGTCCGACTGTCAGAGGGTGGCGGTAGAGGGGCACTGTTGAGACCGTAGGCCTGCAGGTGTGATTTCCCTCCCCTCCTCTCTCCTGAGCATCCGTTTGTCTCTTGCAGAAGGGCTACCGGAAGGAGGATTTCCTAGCTCTGTAAGGACGGGAGTCCCAGGAGCAGCTGAGCCCGGACTGACCAGCCCTGACTCACCCAGTGAAAAGGATCCTCTCAGCAGCACAGGCTGCAGCGTGTCTCCCCTTGCTGCAGCTCCCATCCTCCTCCTCCCTCGCGACCCCGCAGCAGCTTGGCTGGCCTGTCTCATTTCTGCCCCCGTTCCAGCTTCGTCTTCAAGCCAGCCGGGAGCCGCTCCTCCGCGGGGAACATCGGCCTTTGCTCCAGCCGCACTGCTCTGTGCAGGCCCGGGGGAGAGATCAAAGGATTCCCCTCCCTCTGGCAGGCCCTGCGGATGTCACACGAGTCCTGCCAGCACCTGTGAGGACACCAAGAGGTCGTTGCAAGGTCTTCTTGGACCTCTGGATTACTCCTACCCCAGTATGTCTCTATGTAACTATTCCCCGTGCACCCCGCTCCTCCAGGAACTTGTATTTTATAAATGAAGGGGGATCTCAGCTCCTTCCTGGGGGCTAGGCTGCAGAGCGGAAGGGTGCACACAGGGGGACACTGGTGTCAGGAGCCTCCGGCTTCCTGGGGTTCCTGGGGCCGTGGTGAGGGGCTGGGGCTTATATCATGCTCACAAACGTGTTGGGAAGAGGGGTGGCTATGGGGTGGGCTTGCGGCTCGGGGTTGAAAGGAATAAGGCGAGACGGTCTGTTAACAAGCCCAGGCCTGGTCGGAGGCGACCGTCCGGAGCCGGGGACAGAAACGTGAAGCTACTCAGAACTTCCCAGGCGTGGTCTTCAGCCTGGCTTCTGTAGAGCGAGTTACCTTGTAAACCAGGGTCCCACTGACAACCAGACCCTCCTCCCAGGGACCCTTCCCCTCTGGTGCCTGTCCAGGGGTGAGCTGGCAGGCCCTGTGCCAATCGGGGCAGCTCCCTCCCTAAAGCAGCTCCAGGGCCAGTCTGACTCTGGAGTTCCCCACCTGTTTCCGGATTGCGTTCTAGGTCAGCCCAGCAGCACTTCAGCAGCTCGCTAGCTGGGGGGGTGCGTGGTGTGATCTGACAGTGACCCGGGCCTGGTTACTCCCCAGTGCACGTGTCTCTCACGGGGCCCCAGCTCTCGTGAGTTGCCACCGTTTGTGTGAGGTGTATTCAGCCCAGATGCCAGAGCGGGGCACGTTCTGGGCTGCCGGCCCAGGCACTCCAAGCAGGCTGGGCTTGGTCCCCACGCTCCCTTTGCTGGCTGCAGCGCCCCGAGGCGCTGGTGGGTGGGGTGGGAGCGCTGCCTGTTGGCCGGGTTTCGCTCCCTGCTCCCAACGGCCCGATACAAAGAGCTGGGAAAGCAGTTACTGCCGGAACAAACCAAACTCTCCAGGGAAACTTCAGTGCCTGAGCACGTGTGAGATCTTCCCCTTATGTAAGAGGGATGGGCCAAGCCAGTGGCTACAGGGAGCCAGTCTGAGCTGCCTGGGAGGATTATCAATCCCAATGGCCTAGTGCTCGCCTGGCAGACGGGCCACACCTGTGGGATGGAGGGCGCCGCTCTGTTGGGTATTAAAGACTCCCGGGCGCTCCTGCCGCACGCAGCATCCTTCCCGGGTTCCAGACTGGAGCAGGACATTCTGCCCAGTTTCAGCTTCATTTCTCTTTCTGAAGGCTGGCTCAGAGCCGCGCCCGTGCTCCCTGCAGAGGGGGCTGCAGTTCACTGGCTGGGGAGGGTGCAGGGGCTTGGCTTAGCTGCACCTGCAGCCAGCAGCACTTAAGAGGCAAAAGCGGATGAAGCTCCTGGCTTGGCCTGTGCTGTTTGGGTGGAGGACGGTAGCTTTAAGCAGCCTTCCTGCTCCCTCGGCTGCCTTGTGTGATAGGAAGGAGGCTGGGTGGGGGCTGCTGACGGGGAGCTGCTCTCTGCTTTGGCAAAGCACAGCACAGACAGCCCCCCTGCCGTGAGCAGGTGGCCTGCTGTGCCCCCCAAAGGGTTAACCAGCTGGCCTGCCCTTGGGCTGCGGGGGCCAGAGGAGTCCCACACTCCTGGACTTTGGCTCCCACATTAGCTCAGGGGCTGCAAGCAGAAGAGGTGCCTGGCATCAGCCCCAGCCCCCCCTTTCCCCCCAAGGTAATTCAGCTGCTCCCCACTGGCCTGGCCTCTGACACAAACCGGGAGGCTCTGACTGTGCTTGTCCCTGCTGCCGCTGGGACTGTGACGGTCAGTCCTGCGGTAGCCATGGGGCTGAGCGTGGGCCTGGCCCGGCGGTGTGCAGGGGGCTCCTGCCTGGCCACGCTGGCGAGAAGCTCCCTGGCTCGGCTGTAACCCAGTGGTGTGTGGGTGAGTTCAGCTTTGGGACTGTCCTCTGCAGGTTTTGCACCCTGGGGGCTCGGTTCCCCCGCAGGAGCATGGTCGCTGGGGGGGGGGGGGGGGGGGAATGGAGGAGGCTTCCCAGGGAGCAGCTGGCTCCCACTGCCACAGGGTGGAGGAGGGGTTTGCAGCCTATTGGCCAACATTCACCAGGGAGAGGTGTTGCTTTGGCTAGAGGGAGATGGGGGTATGGTCAGTGTAGGCTGAATATCGGGCAGAAGCTCCTAGGGAGGGCTCCCCCGGGGAAACGAGGGGTGGGCTGGCAGCCCCGCTGCCTGAGCCACTTAACATGCAACTGGACAAACACTGGGGCTGTGTCTACACTGGGCCACTTATTCCGGAAAATCAGCCGCTTTTCCAGAATAAGCTGCGAGCTGTCTACACTGGCCGCTTGCTTTTCCGGAAAAGCAAAGACGCTCTACTGTACAAAATCAGCCGCTATTCCAGAAAAACTATTCTGCTCCCTCTCGGGCATAAGTCCTTATTCCGGAACACTGTTCCGGAAAAGGGCCAGTGTAGACAGCCCAGTAGTCTTTTCCGGAAAAAAGCCCCGATCGCGAAAATGACGCTCGGGGCTCTTTTCCGGAAAAGCGCGTCTACATTGGCCACAGACGCTTTTCCGGAAAAAGGGCTTTTCCAGAAAAGCAGCCTGCCAATGTAGACGCTCTTTTTCCGGAAAAACTGAAAACGGAATAGTATTCCGTTTTAAGCAGTTCCAGAAAAAGGTGCCAGTGTAGACACAGCCTGGGGATTATAGGAACCAGCCCGCTCGGCCCCTCCAGCTGTGGGACTAACTCACCGACTCTTTCCACCTCCCCTGTGCATGGGTTAGATGGGATGCCGGGCTGGGAGCCGTTTGCCATTCCCACAGTCTGGGCTGGGGGTCCTTTCTGAGGGCACGGGGCTCTGACCGGTGGAGGGGAGACCCTGTGTAAGTGCTGGAGCGTGCTGCCACCCTGGTGTTTCCCTAGAGAAAGCAAGTCAGACAAGCAAAGTGTTCAGGGGCTGGGTGGGGAGCAGAATGGAGCGGGGGAGTCTGGGTAATTCTGGTGGCTTTAGCAACAGGGACACGCTGCATCAGAGGAGGCCGTTCAGTGCCTGGGACAGAGACTTGAAGCTAGATGCTGCTATGCCCAGTGGCCCCAGGGTACTGCCGCCGGGAAGGGACGCTGGTTTGACCCCAGTGTAGCCGGCAGCAGTCTGGCCTCCACGCCCTTGGCTGGTGCCAAGCAGGGTTCCCAGGTGATGCTGGTGTCTCTTGGTGTGGCTGTCTCCCTAGTTACCTGGACAGTCTTCCCCAGCCAGGAGTGGAGTCATTTAAATAAAGGCTTTGGCCAGTGAGCGGCTCTTTCGGTGCTTCTGAGTCCTTTCCGGTGTGTTTACAAGGAGGAGGGGGGGAGGAGAAGGATGTGGCTGTCGGGGTAATGCTCCCACTATGCCCCAGCGCAGCCGGCTACCCATGGGCAGGGGCCAGCAGCAAGGGATAAGCTGTAGTCTGAGTGCTGCACCTCCTAGAGGCAGCAAGGCAATGCTAGGCCTCCACTGGTTTTCTGAAGGCCCCTTCCCGCCTTGGTCTGGCTCCGATCAGGTAACCCCAGGGCTATTTTCAGAACAGAGCGTCTAGATTGGCAGGATACTTTTCCACAAAAGCACTTTTTGCAGAAAAGCATCCGTGACCAATCTAGACGCACTTTTCCGCAAAAAAGCCCCAATTGCCATTTTCGCGATCGGGGCTTAGTGCGGAAACAGCACTGTGCTGTCTACACTGGCCCTTTTGCGCAAAAGTCTTTCGGAAAAAGACTTTTGCCCGAACAGGAGCAGCATAGTATTTCCAGAAAAGCCCTCACAATCTTACATGAGATCGTCAGTGCTTTTCCGGAAATTCAACATGCCAGTGTAGACAGCTGGCAAGTTTTTCCGCAAAATCAACTGCTTTTGCAGAAAAACTTGCCAGTCTAGACACAGCCCAGCTGTGCTCTGCCGGCCAAACCTTCCTCAGGGCCCATCTGACTAGAGCATTTCCTGCCAGCAGGGTGCGTTGCTTTGAAGCAGGGCTCTGTAACGAGTGCGAGCAACCTGCCACAGTGCGACTAGGTCTGAAGTCAGACCAGCAGGTGGGGAGCATCTTGGGTCACACACACTAAGCCAGGTGGGTCTGAGCACTATGGGGAGCCATCTACAGGCATGCAAGGGAGCACTGTCTCCTGACAGGCCCCATTTTCTATACTGCATCTGTGTCTGGCACTGGCTTCTGGAGTCTCTTGCGCACTTCCATGCCTTGTCATAGGCAACCTGGGAGAAGCGCTGTGTCTGGGGCCAAGGGTGTAGAAAAATGCCAGTGTCTCCGAGTGTATCCTCAGTCCTGACCTGCGTCCCCCCTGTACTCCAGTCCCGAGTACCCTCTCAGCTCTGCCCCTTTCCTGCTTCTACAAGCCACTGGCCTAGGCCTAGCCCTCACAGAGTTGTGGGTCCCTGGCCTAACAGGGATCCCAGCCCTCCTCACACAAAGAACCGACTGGCCCGCAACCACCTCCTATTCTAAAACCAGGCCAAGCCCAGCTTGAAACAAGTTATTTTAATTGTGGTTCCAAAGGAAGAAAGGGCAGAGGTGCTCTGGGAACGGTTCGGGCAGCTCCGCACCACTGTGAAAGGAGGAAACCTTTTCCAGAGCTGTCCTATTGGTCACTAACAAACCGGGAGGGAAAGTCTGGTGCCGCCACCACAGGGAACTTCCTGGAGAGCCACCGGCCCCTGCCAAAGTGCTGCAGGATCGGGGAGACCAGCCTTTGCTGTCAAGCCCTGGGGCTTTCCTGGTGTGTCTGCCCTCATGCTGAATTTTTCAGTCATGTGCCCAGGTGAGATTCCCCATGAGAACTCTGCACTGTCTGGGCTCTTATCCACACACACTAGCTCCAGCTGATGGCCGAGGCCTCCGTGGGCATTTGCTGCAACAGGCTACGCTACACTATGGATCTCTGAACTTATCTTTACAAATCCCAGGCACCTGTCAGGTGACAGCACACGCAGTGCGGCGTGGCATTTCTCCAGCTCAGCCCTAGTGCCTTAGTGCAGCCAGGAGCTCACTACAGCACGGATCTCGGTACCTAGCGGCCACCACCGACACCTCACTGGCATCTGTTACGGCAATGCCTGCCCAGTGGCTCTACCCACCAGCGGCCGCCTCCCAATTCTGCAATGCCACCGCCTGGTTCGCAGCACCCGCTTCCCCTGGGATGTTTCTGCTCCAAAGCCAAGTTCCAGGCAAAAGGCTGAATCCTTCTTTCCTAACAGCTTCTCGTGGCTCAGAAGGGTTTTAGGAGGGAAGCTGCCCAGCATACACGTGGGAGTGTGAAGCTTCAGTGGGAGGTACAAGGTCAGTCCTTTCCCTGCCTGACTCCCCCACAGCGAGCAGCCAGGAATGGGAGTGCTGAAGACTGCCCATGCCTTGGGCCACAGAAAATAGC